TACAAGCCTTAGAATAGAAAGATAGATTCTTGAATATTTTTCAGTGGCTTGCAAAAGTCTGCGTCGGTATGTAGGCATGCTCATACATAAACATACATATTTACGAGGGTTTGTTGGCAAAGCTGTTAGAGCGGCAAGGGAAGCGGTGACAATCGGCGATCGTTTGTTCGTTTTCTTCGGCACAGCTCAATTTTATACCAACAACACAATGTTGTGACGCTTTGTCGTCGCGTCAGTCCTTCGACACATTGACTCTTTGACATAAAAATAAAAAACATGAGCTGAGCATTAAATATAATGTTTTAAGTTATTTCATTACAATACATTTAAGGCTTTTATGGTCGAATATATTCCTTTTTATAGTAAAGTCAATGAAAAGGAATAAAAAACACGAAGGGATAAAAAGAAATTTTTAAAATATAAGATTACAGAGTCCACACTGGATATGTTTACTGTAGTGCTCATATGAAAAAACAAAATTGTTGGCCGTTAAAGCGAACCATTTTAGGCCGTACATCGAAAATGCGCCTTAATTCAAGAAGGCCGTTATAGCGAAATGCCGTATAACGAGCGGCCGTATAGCGAGATATGAGTGTACTTTGTTTCTATCTCATCGAATTTGAAAAAGAAGGGTCAGTCTTTCCATTGGTGGAAAATAATAAATCTGTTAGCTCAAGACTGAATGTACAACCTAGTCCACGAATATACAGATTGCCAAACCAATAATTAAAGCTGGTGATAAATTAGAATATAATGCAAGTGAGAAAGAATTCAGATGAATATCTCAGAAAAATATCTAATGAATATTCAAATGTGTTTAAAAGATATTCCCAACATGATGAAATTTAATTTCGTGATGATAGTTTTCTGGGAACAAGCCATACAAGATGAACTTAGCTCTCATTATCAATATAATGCTTTGTGTCTAGTTCCAAGGCCGAACAATAAAAACGATAGTAGATTGCAAGTGGGTAATTAGTATAAAACAATAAGAGTTTGGCAACTTGGTAATGTATAAAGCTTGTAGTGCGGGGTTTTACGCCAAAATATACGACTATGAGGAGACGTTTGCACCAGTTGCACGAATCTCAAGTTTCAGCTATCTTTTGGCACTTTCAAATCAATATATTTATTGTTCCATCATATGGACGCCAAAACCGAATTTTTGAATCGATCCCTAAAAGATGAAATTTACATGATGGTTCCAAATGGCAAACTCAGTACGTCACCGGTAATTATATGATGCAATTTTGTTTTTGTAATTGATTAATCTCTATTACTATCATTCTTGACTTTTGAGGTGGCGTGTTGAATATACAATATGTATATACTTATGTATTAGCAAAAGTCACAATGATATACATATCTAAGTATATACATTTATAAGATCAAAAGATCTACATAGAAACATATATTATATATACCTTTTTGTTTTGCTCCGTGTGTTTATGCATATATGTATTTAATTGACTTGAGCTTTTATATTTTCTGTGGAAACCTGAAAAAAAAAAATATTCACATAAAAGGAAATGCACTTACCTGTTCTAATATTAAAGAAAAATATCAAGTTCGGAGAGTTATTTCTACAAATATATTTATGTTCATGTTTATGTAGTGACGTTTGTAGAATTTATGACATTTATTAACTTTAATTTGATATTGCTTATCGTTAGACTTTCATACCAATTTGAAAAATATAGTTCATGAGCCTTACATATTTTATTATTTTAGTTTACTTTCAGAAACCTTGCGAACATTAATATTTTATTAAAACATGAAATATCCGTTAAATGTATCTAATACTTTCAATATTTATGAAATTGTATATTGTAATAATACCAGTCACAGATTGCAAATTATGGTTTGAGCTTGGAAAAAAAAAACGCTGTGACAATGTTAATGAATTTATTGTCATTCTGGTCAATAATCATATTTTAATCATTTAGATAGCAAAAACATAGAAAATATGTTAATGATGAGCCTGTTCGTTTTTTCTAATTCTTTTCCACAAGTGCAAATGTGGAGTTGCCCAGCTAATAGTATCATCGTAAAAGTACGAAAGAATAGTTTTTAAATCTAGTAATACTTTCGTCATTGCGAAATTATTTGGAGTACAAAACAGAAGAAAATACCAATTTTTTAAAAGAATGGAGACATTTCTTTTTGGTTGTTTTACTATGGTTACATATTGATTGGTCATATCTGGGAAAATGTGAAATATTCATATTATAGTCTTCCGAGTCTAAGCTCTTTTCTATCGAAGTTTAATTTTAAAACGGGATAAGGGCTAAATTTTACTACTAAGACGTATATCATATTTAAGTTAGTATATATACAAATTTATTGGTATATAATACTTGCAGTGGAACCACTTTTTAAAATATAGCTATGTGCCTAGGTATCTAGAGCAGCTATGATCAACGCCAACGTTACAGTTTTGAGTTTTATTCTGATTTTTCTGTATTTAAATTAAAAAGCCAAACAATTAGATAACTATTTAAATATATTTTTTTGTGTTTTTATAAATCCGCCGGTTTTCGCACTGTCAATAATAAATAAAGTGACTTAAATTTGTTAACTGACAATTAATTTTTTTTGTAATTTTCAATGGTGAATTAATACTCCGAGGCATATGATCACAAAACATTTCAAAAATACCTTTAAATTTGGACGGATTTATGATCAACGGAAAAATGGTTTGATGTTGCAGTTTTACAAAAAACTAAAGCTATTACTCATTTTGCCTTTTAAATTTTAATATCAGCGAAAAAAACTAAGCTTTACATTACGTATACATACATTGATACCTATTTAACATATTGTAATTATCTCGATGTTATGCAATCGCAAAATATATCTTTATAATATATAGTTATAATATTATACTAAAGGCTTTTAATTAAATGTATAATTTTTATGCTCATTGGAACTTTTGCTGTGAAAAATGTTTACAATTTTACATTTTTTATTTTGTTTTTAATTCTACTCTTTTGGAATCATTATTTTCTTCATACGCGGCTGTCGTTGAATGTTTAACTGATTCATTTGTTATTAAGTATTCTTAATAATTTTTACATATTTAAGTTACAATTATTGCTGTGTGCCAATTGATAAAAAAGGTAAAAATTCTATATAGATGGATGTGAAATTTTGATTTTTTTTGTAAGGAGTATATGTCAAGATCTGGGCATATACTCGTAAGCAATAAAATATAATGTTGTTACTTCGCAAATTCATTTAGTTGTATTATTCTTTATTCTATTCAAAGAAACCCACGTATAAACGCTTCGCCAAAAAAGAACAGTAGAAAAATCCATACAGAATTCAACGAATAGAGCTTAATTAAATTGAATTTGAAAACGTTTATAATTAAAAATTATACGTATTATTGTTGAAAATTAAGATTGATCTACCCTCTTTTATTATCTCAAATTTTATCTACTATCAACTTTAAAAATTACTCATTTGTTACAAACTTGAATAAAAAATTATTAATATAAAAAATTCAGCATCTTATACATATATTATGTTTATTTGTGCTTAATAGCAAATCTAAAAAAATGTGTAACAATAATTTTAAAATTTTAAAGTAATCTTCAAATGTTAACACCATGGATTCTTACACCGGAAATTACGTTTTCGTTTCCATTCATACAATATCTTGGCCACAGCAACGCATGGGCGGGGTCTTCGAGAACATAACATAATCTGAAAATTTGTATACCCTAAACAGGGTATATTAAATTTGCCACCCAGACGGAAACCCTATAATATACATACATAAATGATTAGCATGATTAGCTGAATTGATTTAGCCATGTCCGCGTGTCTGTCTGTTTGTATATACGCGAACTAGTCCCTCAGTAGCTATCGATATAAAATTTTGTCGGAACGGCCGATATCGGACCACCATAGCATATAGCTGATATACAAACTGAACAATCGGAATTTACATGGATTATGGTCTAATGTAATCTCCGAAGAAATTGTTTAGATTTAGATTTTAGCTAATAGCTGCCATATTAACTGAACGATCGGAGTAAAGTGCTTGTGTGGAAAACTTTTTTATTCGACGAGGTATCTTCACAAAATTAGATGGGATCAAGTTCTTAGTATTTGTGAAGGGTATTATAGCTTTGGTGCAACCGAAGTTAACGTTTTTCATGTTTTATAAACAATCAACTTATAAGAAATGCACCGTTCAGGTGCGATTAATAGCTACTACGTACACCTGCAAAGTATCGATACGGTATGACCACAGTATTTATAAATCGTCGGTATGGAACGTCAAAAAAATTTTCAAAATAATGCCCAAACCGGTTTTGTGTGGGCGAGGCGACGACGAGGAAAGACGAACGGACCTTTCTCTCTTTGTGTTCGTGTTCCTAACAGTTCACTGCTACGCTTCAGCATTCTTTTTCATTTTGAAATTCTTTATAGCAATAGCGCTCGGTTTCAAATGAATATATACGATTTGTTAGGAAATTTGAATTTTTTGTATGTAAAATGCAAATAAGTGTGCATAGAATAATAGAAAAATTTGTGAATAAGGATAAAATTAAGATTAATATTAATAATTTTACTAGATATAATTTAAATTTTTAATAAGATTTAGCTGAATTCAATGTAATATTATATACATAAATGAATTCTAATAAAAATTGAGTTACTTTTACTTTTTTATATTTACATAAAATATTCAGATGCTTTCATATTTATTTCTTTAAACCAGAAAAGATTTAGTTCAATATCATTTTATTTAAAACAAGAGTTGTAATTAATCTATGAACGTTTAATAAATGGAAAAAATATGGAGTAAAAAAAGTATGGGTTTTTAATATTTTCCTAAAAATTAGGATCCTGTCATCAATTTGGCCTTGAAAATATTAGTAGCGGGAATTCAATACATTCTGCTGGATTAGGGAATTCCCGAATTAAGTATTTCTTTGAAACTATTAAGCGGGTATTATGCATATTGTTCTACCACAATAATTCTTTGTAAGCAAAATGTGAGACCAACATACAAACATACGCTGTGTCGCGTAGCCGAACCGAATAAACATTTGCGAAAATTTTATGAAAAGGAATGACAGAAAAACTCGACTCGAGTTGCTGGACTCTTTTCGCTAGTGTGAACGCCCAGAGTGATACCAAAAGAGAATTTGCCGATAATGAGCGGCAAAAGAGTCCCCTTGTGAACGCAGTATAATTTGACCTTTGAACAGTTTTACAGCAAAATTTACTTTCGGAATAAGCTGTTTTGTTCTTGCGAGCGTATAATGAAGAAATATGTTAAAATTAAAACCAAATAATTTAATTATAAATAATTTCTCCCGTTTCATCGAAAACACAGCCTCAACATCATTAAAATATATCAGAACAATATATTATATTCTTTCCATCATAAGTACATTATTTGCCATAATCTCTGAATTTAATGCAAATTTAGTATAAATTAATAAAAAAAAACTAATAATAAGCTTTACAATCTCACTTCGTCATCGTTGCATATGGAAATGTTAAAAAGCATCAACTTTTTGACATTTCAAAACATGATGCAATGTCAAAAATATTTCGGATGCATTACAGAACATAAAACTTTGTTCTTATACATTGCAATTGCCGTTTTCGAAGTCGGTCAACATTAGCAAACATTTTAAATTCATAAGAAATATTTCACAACAAACAATTATGGAAATGTGTAGATATTAGTTGAATAAATCATTTTTAAAATGTGTTTAAAAAAGCAGCAGTTTATTGGAGATACATTTTGATAAATTATTAAATTGGAAACATGCATAACCAAATAAAATATGAAATATAAAATAGCTTCCATTTAAAATATTTAGCGAATTCATATTCATATCTTCACAAATAAAAAGTTTCCACACAAGAACTTGATTTTGATCGTTCAATTTGTATTGCACTTATGTATGTGCTATAATGGTCTGATCTGAAATTTTCATTCGGAGATTGTAGTCTTGGATAATATTCTATGTCAAATTTCTGGTATAATAAAAAAGTTTTCCATACAAGGACTTCATTTGATTGTTCAGTGTGGTCTGAGCTGAACAATTTCTTCGGATATTGTACCGTTGCTTTGGTCAATAATCCATTCCAAAAATTCGTGAAGATATCTCGTCATTCCATGCAAGGACTCGATTTTGATCGTTCAGTTTTTATAGCAGCAGTAAGCTGTAGTGGTCCGATATTAGCGGTTCCGAATGAGCATCTTCTTGATGAGAAAAGAACGTGTGCAAAATTTCAAAGCGATATCTCGAACGGGAAGTCAATTTGGCAGAAATATTGGTTGAACAATCATTTAAAGGTATGTATGTGAGAATGGAAATATATGGGAAAATGTATGATATCTTTTGAATTTTGGAACAAAATATGTTTTCAATATACAAATTATAAAATCTAATTTTCAACTTTAATATGTAAATGTGTTTACATTTATTTTCTAAAAACTCCATTTTCTGAAGTAACCAATTTTAAAAATGTAGAAGACTGTTTAAATGACTATAAACTCCCCTTCCAACTACACCGCTTCTTCAGGGTAAATAATGTCACACCCTAATACAACACACCACACCTTGGAACACAACACGCACTCACAACATAAACGACCACACTGCACACGATGTCAGCACAGAAGTTACCACCATACACGATGACACCCCACACAATCAACAAAAAGAGGGATTGGATCTTCAATTCAACACATTCGAATTAATTCCGATCTCTTTGCGCAACGTAAATGTATGAAATCGCTATCTCCCCTACCAACCGTCAAAACTTTCTGAGTTTAAAATCGTAGTATTAATTTTTATCAAAAAAGTGTTAAATCAATAAAAAACTTGTGAAACATTCAATAAAAAAAAAAATAAAGAATATTTCAATTTAAACCTTAAAAAGGCGTTTGTGAAAGAAACGGGAAGTAATAATGTCAATTTTGAGTGCTAACATTATAGCATAAGTAGTCAAAGACCACAGTAATTAACCTTATTGAGTAAATGAAAACGTGTTTTTCTACCACTAAAAATAATAATTTTCTCATATGTAAAAGTATAAAATCTATTATTTTTTTAATTCAACTGATTACGAATTCACAAATTTTTGATGCTTGATAATAAGTTTTGTCAAAGAAAGTAAGTATTCAATGCAAAATTATTTTAGTATGCTCTAAAAGCAGATATTATTAACGTAAATTTTTTTTGATATATTTGATATACCATAATAATACAACATTTTATCCTCCTTGCACTTTTGCCATGTCCATTTTATTGGTATTTTTAAATTTGAGCTGCCCGCGCTCTTCGGCTCGCATCGCACTCGAATACGTTGATCTACCGGCCCATTCACATTCAACTTTAATTGCTTTACATGACAGTTTATACTTAAACAAGAAGCGTAAAAAATAAAGGGTATGCCACAATGAACGCTTTGCTTTCAGTATATCTGTCTTATAAAAATGGCGACAGTTCCGTTGGCAAAGCGTAAAAAGATGAGAGGCTCGTTGTTGAATTTTGCTTGGCTTCGCGTCGAAAACTTTTTATGTGAACGTATTCATACAAAAGCGTACATCGAACTTTTCTGGTAAAACATATGATTGACGTAAAGCGAAGCAAAAGTTCTATATGAATTGGCTATAAGGGTAGCATGCATAAGTTAATTCGACTTATGACCGATTTACATACAAATTTCCTTGCTTTGCTTGACATTTCATGCTTTAATTACAAATCGAAGAAAGCAAAGTGTATGTAAGAATAAACGCTTTGCTTTTCGTGTTTCTCTCTAATAAAAGTGGTGCCTATTGCTTGGCAAAGCGTAAAAAGATGAAAGCTGCCCAATATTTTGCTTTGCTTCGCCTCGATACTCATACAAAAGCATACATTGAATTTATCTGTCAGGGCAAATGTCTGAAGTTGCGGATGTTCGGGCAAGTGTTAATGGAAAAAATTGTAAGTTTAATTTAAAAGGTATTGAGTATCTACAACTCGATCACAACTGATGGCGGACTAAATAAACAACACTACTAAAAAGTGAATTCTGAAACTTCGAAATGCGAAGGATGGATAATTTTTTACTCACTTTATTCCTAGTATACGTGAACTACGTTTGTTTTTACGGATTGTCTAAACTTAGTTAATCTCTTATAAACTATTGATAGCAACCACGCTCATTCCCATATTACAAAGGTATTTTCAATTATTTTTGATTTGATTAAATCAAAGTTTTATATTTGTTTCGTGAAAAGTTTGAAATTTGCTGAATTACTTATTGAGTTTTTAGGATTTCACCGGAAATATTACTAAAATTGCACATAATTCGGTAAGTTTAGAGGTTTTATTAACGATATTATATCACATAAATAATCATTTCCGATAATAAAAACACAAAAATTTTAAGTTGCGCGTTGTATGGATAGTATAAAAATTCAAATTGGTTTGTGATGTCGCGGATATATAATGTATGTACTCATTTTTATACATAACATCATATGGATGTGTTTCTTAAAGTAGTTAATGTATAAAATATGTATAGTATTTAATCCAAGGGATACTTACTCACACAACTTCTCTTTAAATATAATATTTGGAATACTTATACATACATAAATTAAAAAATTAATTCGTCTTAAAGTGACGTACATATTTGATTAACAGTTTACATGTTTGATTACGAATTCTTCAAAGTAGTATTAGTATTATCTATATTTATATATATATTCTAATCCATATTTATAAAATAGATATTTTTGTATATACAAGTAATTAACTATATTATTACTAGGACACCAAACAGATAAACCATTTGGACTTTAGTTTTCACCATAGTGAGAGAGAAACTCAGATAATATTACTATTGGAGAAAGGTGTAGATAATATTAGAAAGCAACTTTGTGTTTTAAATTATGACAAATAAATATCGAAAAAATTATGAATACACATATATGGTATGTAGATTGTATACGTAATGGAAGTATAGGAGCATACAATATATAATATTAATAACGTTATTTACATATATTCACAATTTAAGTTTCGCTTTATTGTAAATATAAATATAGAATAAAATAATATTGTTAAAAGCTTAGTAGTTCGATAATTCAGCTGAAAAAGGCGACTTTCTGCATTATTTTGAGGTATATATATTCGTGCAGTACCGCACTGACACTGACATCTAATGAATTAGGTACCTATACTGGGTACGTCTGTAAATTTTCAAATAGTATTTTGGTATACACATATATAATTCAGACAATGATTCAAATTCAAAAGACTGAATTAAAAATATTACCCTAGCTAGTAGAGATAATGAGACGATGCCTGAGCTCTGTATTGTTTTGGGGTAAGTTTAATCAACTTTGGATTAAAAGCGCCAAGAGCAGCTTCATTGGTAGAAGATGGCGGTGGCGGTACTGTATTGGCGCGAAAACGTGATCGCAAGAAACTTTGCATGGAACGGAGACGTATAATCGGTGCACAGGGAGACTGCCTAAGTGAGTTGTGGTTGAGAATCCAGTAAATAAGAGGACTAATGGTAGAATACGTATAACCTATAAAAGAAGAAAAAATACGTTTGTTATAATGAATAGATTTTGGAGTTTTGCAAGTATTCAAATTTTAACACTGACCATATGGTTATTCAAACATAAAATTAATTATACAAAAATAGCCAATTTTCTTAAGAATTCTTAAAAAATAGGAAATAAATCCGTAAATGGTTCAAATAGTGAAAATCGTCGTAATTAATACTGCAATATCGGTTTACAACCCAACTTCAATTGATATTGAAATAACTAAACTCTTTTTAGCATTTTGAATTACAACTACTTTCAGGTGAAGTTGTATTGATGTTGCAACTGTTTATTTGGAAGACGAAAAATTAATCCAATCTAAATTGTATTGTATATTGTAATGGGGAGTGAATAATATTTATATGGGAATTGCTTTTTATTTATACAACTTAAATATTTGCTTAAAATTCATTGAATTGTTATCAGATATGTAAAATTTTAACTAAGGTAGAATGAAGTGGTTAACGGTAACAGAGGCATAAAAAATACAGGTAATTATGCCAACATCTGAATGTATAATGTACATAGGACAAACTTATATTGTAGTGTTACTGCACAATGGAAAAAATAATTATAGACAAATTCCTGATAAATTTGTACCAATTTTTTTTTATTTATTGTATCGATTATAGATATCGCGTTTAGTATTACATCTACGTTGAAAGCATTGCGTGAATAATAAATTCAAAAACACATTCGATTTGAAAAAGTCATGGTCGGTATAAAGAGAACAGAGAGTATCAAAATTGATATCTTTAGCTCTAAATAAACAGAATGTCAAATTGAACAATTTAAAAAAAAATATTTTTTAAGAAATTAAAAAGAAACCAATTGCTTTACAGTTTTTTTTGAATTTTTGTTAATCATTCTTATTCGAACAATAAAATAATCTCAAATACATAAATCTACGACCTTGAGGCGACCAAATGGCCAGATAATTCAAATATTATGCGAATGCGTATGTATTACACAAAATTTTTGCAACTCAACCCATGAGGCTAAATTTAATATATTGAGTATATGAGGAAAAGGCCAATAAAATAATCGGCAAAATTTATATTAGGGATGTGAGATTTAGACCAATTTCATTCATACTCAGCGTTAAACCTTATTACGGTAAAACAAATGTCCACTTAATTTCAAAAAATTTTCGCACATATTAACCAACACAAAAGGTTTAAAGTTTGAAATTATTATATCGGTGGTTCATTGATAATGATGGGCGAAATCAAAATATGGAGGGGAGTCTGTGGTTTGAAAAATGTTAAAAGGGGAGTCTGGCCCCTCCTTTTAATTTGTGTAATGTACATATGTATATCACTTACCATTGAAGGTGAATTAACTTGCCGAGAACAAGTCTTTCTAGCTCCTTATGCACTGGAAAAAGATGAAATGAGATAATAACAACGCCCATAAATAACGGTTATGTTGAAATCTGCGAAAAGTGCGATAAGTCACTAAAACATCAGAAGCATTAAATTCACAGCCAAGGTGATGATTAAGGGCTTTATAGGAATTATTTTGCTACTGTGTGAAAACAGCCGAAATCGGATTATAGATTCTTTCACTTTGCAGAATAAAAGTCAAAATCCAATGAAGACATTAGATTAAAACAAATAGTGTGGTCAAGATATACCATATCTTAGCAACCACCGAAATCAAACTATACATAAACATTTCCAAGCCAAATAACGAATATGTGGACCCCAGAGCCTATGACAAGCTTTGTACAGAATAAATCGGTAAATCTGTGAGATATAGTTTTGATATTTAGAGAGAATTTTTCCTTTATACTAACGTGTAATGTAGTGTGAAAGATATAATTGTAATATGATAGTAATCTTTTCATGCTTTCGTCGAATAATGAATGTTGAATTCTTTCGCTACATAGGAGTATTTTAATATAAAGTTTTGCAGCACCTGAAAGTATTTCCCCGCTTTTTATTATTCCAAATTACGAGGAAATATGTTGAAATGTTCGGTTGCACCCGAACCTTCGGCCTTCTTTACTTGTTAAATATACTCAGAACAGGGTATATTAAGTTTGCCACGAAGTTGCGTGACGAGCTGAGACCAGTGGCGAATTTACCAGCACACTGACTAGGGTGAGGTCTAGTGGCAGATTTCGCTCATAAACTTTTAATTTCTGTTTAGACTTAAACAAATTTGACAGAAATTCAAATATTTAACAAAATTGAAATATAGTGCTAGTGCATTTCGATATGATTTCCTATGTACTTATACATATGTTGTGTCAAGGTATTGAGTTCGACAGAAAGAAAAGAAAAAGAAAATAGACATAGAGGCGGCGATACAAACGAGATTACGTCGTATGTGATGATTTCGTCCCTCAATTTTTGATCCTGTATTGATTTTAATATTATTTTCAAAGTACAAGGAACAGTCATCTATAACCCTAACAGTTGAAGATATGTCTCAGAATCCGAAATAATCCTTCGCTATGAAAATAATCAAAGATATAACACGGTCCCTTTGTTCTTAACGACACTAACCATACGTGCAAAGTTGATGTAACAAGGCCGATGGAGTTTGGAATTTTATTGAGAGAAAATGTAATTTACATGTTTGAGTACTTATCAAAATTTAGAGGTGGAAAAGTTGGAGGCAGATCTGTAAATCCGCTACTGGCTGAGTCGTTTTAGATATGTCCCTTTTAAGTATAAGAAGTACACCCGTGAAGAATATTATAGCTTAAATTTTATAGTAAAAGTTTTTTGTTTTTTGGTTTTTAAATAGTTTATAGTATTTGGAAAGAGGCTTTATGACGATTTAAGAGAAAAATCGACAGGGGTCATACATTTTTTTAATAAGATGATATATTCATACAATAAGTATAAGAATCAATAAATAAAGTCAACGACGATGCAGAATTATTGAAACGTGTTATAACAGGTGACGAAACATGCGTTTATGGATATAACGTTGAAACAAAGACTCTATCGTCTCCATTTTATCCATATAAGCATCTGCTTACTTTCCAACCCCGCGAAATTTTAAAATTCCCTTTATTTTTGAAGTGAAACTTCTTTGCGCTTGTTGGGCTGTATTTCCAGTATCGAATGAAACAAAAAAGCGACAGGAAATTTTAATGTTAATTCAGAAAATGTTAATATTGTAAATAAAGAAGGCGCAAATATTAGCTGTGTAAAATGTAAATTATTAAAAGGGAACATCGAAAATGCGCAAATTCGAAAATTACATTACACCACGTCAAAAAGGAGGCCTCCCCTCTTTTCAAGCGAACTCAACAAACTACACCACTCTAAGAAGGTACCAAGCAAATTTTCACCACCTTATAAAGGAACGGCTAATATATGTATGCTCAGATGTTCTTTGGGATGCATATTAAAGCAAATTAGAATAACAAAAAGAAATAATAAATTTTAAAGAACATTTATGTAATGAGGGAAAAGCTAAAATAAATGTAATAAAAAAGGATTATAAAAATTAAAAAAGGAATAAAACAACACCTGTGATAGGATTTGAACTCAGGCAATATGTAAATTTGCAATAAGGAGCTGTGCTATACAAACAGCACCACGAACACTACACATTTAATTTGGTCTAATCTGTGAATTCTAACAGCAATCGTCGTTTACTTGTTTGAAATGACTAATTTGTATGTATATATTTTATTCGCATGTCTAAATATATTTGCATATACTTATGTACACATATGTACATACGTATGTATGTCCCTCAATATGCTATTTGTAAAAAATTTAGCATTGGCGCAAGCGACAAAAAAATCGCAGACTATCATCGATCAATAAGGTTCGAGCAAGCTCGCGCTATATTTTTTAAACGCCAACAAATTCATTCATAAGGATTGCACGTATGCTCCAAAATGAAGTGCGGTCGTTTATAACTCTGCACTGTGTTCTTTTTTCTGTGCGCCTGGTCAACCAAATTTGGTTTACATATGGAATTCCTACCACAAATGCTCGAAAATTAAGAAAATTGCACGAAATGAATGAAATTGAATTTGAACGTTATTATTATTATATATATCATTAGCGATTTAAAATTTTTATTTACATTTATTTCATATTATGCAATATACATATATGACATTATATTATAAAATTTATATAAAATTGGCATTCCTATGAAATCTTTACTTACTTTTATATGTTCTAAGCACACTCCTTATAGTACTTTTATAATATTACTTATTAGCTTTATTTCATAGTTTTTCGTTTAGCCCATTTTATCTAAATAAGACGCTATGAAACTGCAGCCCAATCGGCAGTCGTAGTATTTCAAAAGAGCATATTTAAATTTTCAATTGCAAAGCAATGCAAAAATGACAAACGCGACAACATAGCCGACCGACATTGTCGCAAAATTGTGGATTCAAACAAATTTTGTCAACTCCGCGACGATGCGCAAAATTCGCCGTCAATATGTATGCCAGCTCTTATATATGTATGTTTGTCGGCAACGTTGTCATTTGATTTTTTTCAATGTTTTGTCAGAACTCAATTTTTTGCTGTGCCCCGTCTCCGTGAGAACTCGCCGTTACTTCCATAGCGTGTCACCATGGACAGAGGCGTTTCAACGGAGGATTTATATCATATTATTATATTGCTTAATTTGTATAGAAAAATACTGATATCATAGGGTTTATTTACAAAATATTAAAATATTTACGTAAAAATTTAAATACACATAAATTCATACTTATTTAAACGTGTTTAAAATAAACTCGTTTAATAAAATTATATCTGAAGTAATTATGTGGTAGTGCCCTTTCTTGATTGCGATCGTTCAATTTGCACATATGGATATGAATTTACAAAAAATTAACTGGTTGGCTGTGAATGCTGCTTCAGTTGGAGATATTTGTGCGGCCAAATGTGTCATAGAAAGCAGACAGAGTGTGGCAATGATTGTTCTTTACATCACTCCGAACCAGAGAATAATAAAAATCAGTCATAGAGCATTATTGGCATATACTCCCTCTAGTGCAGCAGAATTCGGAGAAGAATTGCACACTATGCCAATGATTTTAAGCGGTGATTTAATTTAAAAATGAATAATAGCCCCAAAGACTTAACAACTAGATCAGGCACGACATTCTCAAGATATTTACATAATTACAATAACAAACCAATTATATCTTTTCTTGAACGTGAAAGTATGGAAGTGAATGAATAGATTTTTTATAAATGGAACATCAACTATCTTTTTTCATTAATCTAACTTCCTTATAAAATCCAGAATAATGAATAGTGGTTTCTGTTATCGGGGAAATATTTCTATCTCATAAAACTTGCTGGTTAGGGTGAGTATTTTCATTTCAAATGCCCATCGAGATCCACGAAGTTTCACTTCCACCGCCTAGCTTTCTAGACTGTTTGGTTTTTGTTTGGTTTTGTTATTCGCTAAGAAATAAGTGTGTACTTCAAACTAGTGCGATTCGATACGGTCGAAAACGTGGCATGATGACATATGCACATGAGTAGAACATTTAAACAATAATAAACTCAAAATTATGTTTTTGGTTTTACCTCACACTCAATTGGACGTTATCACAGCCAGGCATATGATATTATACAAATTTTCAATACTCACCTAGTAGCAAATGAAAGTACTTGGAAGTCTTAGAGCAATAATGCTTATAACCAAAGCTTGTGTAAAATATGCAAAAGACGTGGGGCGCCCAACATAAAATAAATATGATTGCTGATGCTATGAGAACGTTGGCTAGGCGTCTCCTTGAGTGAAGAGTTGAAGTTCGTGGCAATGGTATACCGGGTGCAGCTGGACCATGCAAACATGTTTTATGGTTAATACGTTGACGTTGAGAATGTGCTCGAACTTCACGCATTGCTCTGCAAAAGTTTAAACAATACAATTATTTATTGGCATAAGTACTTAGATGTATTACTAATGCCCTTTCAATTGGTTCAGATAATTTAAGTTAAGGTTCATACGGTACGTGTAAAAAAGACAAAACAAAAGATTTTTTTTATATAAATACTGATAAAAAACAATTATGTTACTACAAAATAAATCAGTTATTTTGTAAAATAATGAAACCAAAAATTAAACAGTTTTTCAGAGAATATTTAATCCTACCTCGTAATTATATAGTTGTCATAAGTTAAAATAGCCTCGAGATTCTTACAATGTTTCAACAATTCATCTTTTGGAAGTTTTTGGGCATATATGTTATACAAAAAAGCAAAATGTTTACTGAGCTCAGAAATCTGGGAAAATCTTTAATAATAATATAAGTAAATTTTGCCGCCCCTAATTTTTTGCCGCTTTGGGCAAATGCTCGGCTTACTCCCCCTTAGATCGGGCCCTTTATGTATGTATATAAAATATAGGAGTGTGTAAACGTTCACTTAAAAAAATCTCGATTAGTTTTAGGCAGTACAAACAACCTTTAGGTGAATAATACTACTATGCTCTGTAGCAACATGTTGCCAGGGTATAGAAATAGTTTAGTAAATCACAGTTAAACCAGACAACTTAAAACAATAAGTTCTCTGGTTAAACAAAATATCGTAGATACAACATTTATTTCAGAAGTTTGAGACCTCGGTTGTAGTAAGAGTTGTTGAAAATGTTTAGGAGGCCGAAATTCAAGTGTTTTTTGTGATTTTTTTTAACTGAGAAGGAATCGTTTAAATTTTCAGGGTAGTTTATTCCTATTTTAAACTACACTTTAAATTTTTCGATGCCATTTCCGTTGGAAGTAGTGGAGTTAGAGGGTGGTGTCCATTGACGATCGCCATCAGAATTGACTGCTGGCGGGTCATCTGGAGGTCACAGTTTTGATCTGAAATCATACATTTTTTTTGTCTTTCGTTAGTTACATATTTTCTTAGAATATGAATCAAACTCTGGCCAAAAGAGTTGAAATTTAAACATTTGGAGGTGTTTGAAAAAAATGTTATGTTTTATATAATTTTTGTTCACCTTTTTTACATAAAAAAAATATATTTTACTTAATAATATCATTTCAGAGTGTTGTTCATATTTTTCGGACTTAAATAAAAGACATTCACACACATCTTCAGATCGATTCGTCAATAACTTTTCGAGCTAGAATTCCCGCAAGTTGAAAAAAAGTCTTTTCGAAAAAACGCACTTGAAAAAAAAGTGCGCTTCGGCACTGAATCGACCGGTGTTTACCTTTGTGCTCATATTATCGGAACTAATTGGAATAAAAAAAAATCGATTTTTTTGAATCATCTAAACTGGTTGCCCCCCTTAAAAGGTCTTGGCTTTACACAGTCTTCTTGTTAATTTTGTGAGACGAAATGGCACTGAAGAGTCATTCGCAATACGGCCCTAAATATATAAAATTATAGGAGTAGAAGGTTACGGTGATAAAAATCGTACGCCTAGAATAGGTACTAGCAAAATGACTCTAATTCTAGGTATTGCATGTTATGGCTCTAATCTTTTATTGCTTATGGGGCATGTTGTTGAGACCACCACCCAAATACAAAACATCGGTCTCATACCTTGTCAATTTATTTTAAACCAAGGATTAAATTTTTTCTATTTGTCGAGGATTCTAGAAGTGTCCGAAGAGTGATCATATTTTCAGATGAGTGGCAAGGATATATTATTTCGATAGCCCTCACCTCTGAAAAAGCACTAGGAACTGTTTATAAATGTCAATTTTGTGATTGTATTTAAAAAAGTGTTGCTTAATAAAAAATACAAGATCGTGCGTTTTACTGACCGCAATTTTCTCGATAATAGCGGAAATTGTTGTCTTCTCCTGGACCTTTTTCCTACCTACATGAAGAAGTGGATGAAATGAAACACTTTCTACGGCATGAAAAAAGAAACACTTTCTACGGCATACTTGACAGCGTTTTCTGTGGAATGAAGAGAAGATTCTCCGCATTGAGTGACATAAACGAATCGTTCTGGCAGTTCCATTTTATTAAATAAGATAAAAGCTTCAAAAAATGTTGCAAAAAAGTATTCCGTTGATGTATCTGATAAGTTGTCCAATGAAGCTATTCACCTCAGACACGTTTACGATACAAATTTTGAAAACTGTCTTACTCCATACATTTTATTGAATGCTATTAATGCTTGAAAATTAGGAAAACTTTTCTAAATATTTGCATCGCTTTGAAAACATTTTGCACTTTACCCGTTTCTGTTTCAAAAAGTTGGATTTCTAGACTATTATCGCCCATTCGCAGCTGCCAATGCTCGCAAACCCCACTTATATGTTCCATATAAATGAAGATTGGAGGTTTTTAAACTGCATGTCCAAAAACTTAATCTTAATAGGCAATAGAATTCAAAAGAACTGTTTTTTCAATAATTAGATAAATAAATGTTTGAATAAGAAATCTCTTCTTATTAACTGTCAAGTCTAGCTTTACCTATATTAATTTATTTCGGTATAATCTGGAAAATTTTTTTGACTAAAAGTCTATGTATGTAATGATTTATACATTATTGATTTTCAAAATAGTACAAAACAAATTTGTTCCACCCAACATCAATAAAAAAGCAAATTTAATACAGATGTGGGGATAGTCGTCGTATTTAACTTATTTTTCAAAAACATTGAAGTAGCAAGTGGGAAGCTAGTTAATAAAATTTATAAAGTATTAAAAAAATTCGTGTAGGAAGAAGATAGAGTAGAGAGTTTAACACATCTTCAAATCTCACAGAAGCATATGTGTGCAAGCTTTATATTTTGATTTTTTCCCATACACATACGTACATATGTATGTAGATACATACATGGATTTTTAGCTCTTTTCAGAACTCTTATTTTCTTTTCAGCTTTTTTGCAATAAGTTACAGCCTTTAATAAAAGATTATTACTTAAAATTGGGTTTAGTTGCTTTATTTTCTATGTTTGTCAATTTTTAAATAAATGCGCTAGAAACAAAAAATTTTGCACCCGAGATGGTACGAGAGAGCTTTATACGAGCCAGTCTCAAATTTGGACGATAGGCGTGGCACGGCCCACATTTAGGTGAAAACCCATATTTCAGGAGTTACTCGACCGACTTCTACCGAATTCGGTAGGCCCACGCCTACTACAATTTTAAATTCCACCTAATTCTTTCACTCTTCAATACAAAAATCAAGAATCAATCAATGTATCTGGATAAAACTTTACACGAATAGTACCATCGAGGTGTGCCACCTTATGACCAAAAATTGTCCAAATCGGACAAAAACTATTCAAGCCCCAAGACACAGAATATGTGAATCCCAGTTCATATTGGGAACTTTTTTTTCGAAAATATCGGCCAATCTGTGAGATATATATGTTATAGAAATTCGGAAAGAATCCTTTTCTGATAATAGTATGCCTGTATGTAAAAAAAAACTATTCAAGCCCCCAGATACCGAATATGTGGATCCCAGTTTCTATTAGAAACTTTTTGTCAAAAATATCAGTCAATCTGTGAGATATGTATGTTATAGAAATTCGGTTGAATCGGATTAATAATTTACTTAGCCCCATATTCCTAATGGAAAGATTTTCGAACTTCCGGCTGACTTTATACCGCATATATCGGCAAATAAGTATGTAAATTATCTTAATAAAATTGAGAGAGTATGTTTTTCTCCTTATATATTGGTGATGGTATGTGAGGTACCTAAATGAAACATAGAGAGCATTTTTTTCTGTTAATAATATGTAGTAATTCCAAAATTAGAAAAAATTGGGTCAATCTTCCCCTATCTCCCATATACATAATATAAATAAAACTTAAGCAAAATTAACTGAACGCAAAATATTTTATATACTATAGTTTAATGCCGAAAATATGTGATATTGGTCCACGAGTTACCCAAACTCCCATATAATATATACACATAATGATTTTCGCTATTCTAACGAACCTTATGCTTGTGAATATATCGGACAGTGTATGAGTTATATGTATATATATAATGTAATGTCAAAAGTTTGTGCAATTAGCCTAGAACTTTTCTGCCCCCAATATACCTTATACAGTGATTTCCGACTTCCCACCTGTCTTTAAACCGGCTAGGTTGGTCAAAATGTGTGATATTTTAGTGAAAATAAGTGGACACGCTTTCTTAAAAAATAATGCGGTTTAGCGGTTAATTTGAATGAAATTGGTTTAGAGCTTGGTTCAAACCTTATATCCCTAATGTAATGAATACGGATCACTCAGCTTCTAATTCAGAACGGGCAAAGAGTTTAAAGATGTCTACACACTTCTACATATAATTAAAACACTAGTACGTCCTATATTGGAATATGGCTGCATTATCTGGTCACCTCACACTCAACAAATGATTTATAGAATTGAAAAAATACAACGGAAATTCTGCAAATTTCTAACATATTATATGTACACACGAGGAACCCACTTAACAACAGATGAGGTGTACAGCCAGAGAACAACTGTTTTAAGTTCTCTGAGCTAACACGGTCAATGAATATACAGCAGACATCGAATGTTTTGCAAGATCTCTGTCAAGTTTCAAGTCTAACGTCAAAAAATAATAATATTAACCAGCTAGTACTCATATTGTCTCCATGTTTACTAATTATATTTATTAACCTCTCTGTAATCTCATATACTTCCATTAAAATACTAAATTATATCAACTTATATAGTTCATTATGAGATAAATATAAGTAATTTAATTTAATGTCACAATCAATCAAAATTTATAAAATTTTATTTACAATACACTGCCGATTGGCGTTTCTTTCTAATAAATTAATAAATAAATATTTCCCAACAGACTTTGTATACAAAGTATTCTCCTTCTCTCATTCATGATCATACGTACACAAGAGTTTTGGTTAGATTTGTCATTTCGGCCTTAAAGAAATCATAGAAACCTCAACAGATATCTCTGGTGGTCTTCGATAGTTGGATTGCAGGGTGCAAAGTTCAATGATTAAAGTTAAAACTATATAATACCCTAGACGGACACATAGAACACATTGCAATATGGTACGGAAACCATATGTGCAACAGCCGTTTTAGTTACAAGGCAACTGGAGTTCTGTAGTATATTATATATATAAATTCAACATATATTATATTAAACGTGAAAATGAGTGTGGGTCCTCGTGCTTCGACACTGGCTACAGGCAGTAGTTTCGAGAGAGAAGAATCAACTGTAGAATCTGAACATAAAAAGTGATGTTCACAAAAATGTTTGTGACGTGTTAGAGTTGTGCAATGACCGGGCAAGCAGTTCCGAGAGAGAAGAATCAACCGTAAAATCTGAAAATGAAAAGCGATGGCCACAAAAATGTGAGATCTGTAGAAGCTTTTTATTTATTTGGTTTATTATATTTGTGTCACTATAATTATACATGGTTTTCTGAGCTTTCATTCTACAAAACTTTGTAGTACTCAAACAATATGTCTGTCAGCAGTAAATAATACAAACGCGTTGCTATGTATGTCTTTTGACACATGCTTAATAGTGTTATAATTTTTTCTTTGTGAATAAATTATTTTATTCGCGTTAAAAAACGTTAGAGTAACTCTTTATTTTTATTTTCTACAATTTGCCATAGTTAATTTTAAATCATAAGTTTTAAAAATACTAGAAAAAAAAGGAATGTGTATTTTAATTTGTCATTTGAACTATTCACAACAGTAAAACTCATCTAAAATGTGCAAAGTAAAACTTGATAGCATTGAAGATACCACTTTAATGAAGTATGCGCATACTTTCTTGTACGAATTCTACTAGATAACTTTGCTGTTACTTTTACATGTAAGAAATAATAATAACACATGCGTCAGAAGACATGTTAGCGCAGGGTTGCACCACAAGTGCTACCCGTTTGTTGGAGCATCCAATATAGTGTGTTCGATTCGCTGGAGAGTAACGCTTGGCTATTCGAAGACAGTTAATGGAAACTATGTATATAGGGTTCATTTTTATTCTCAATCGCTTGCTATTGTAGAGAAAATTGAGCAACTCAAATGAAAATGTGTATTTTACTCATTTATAAAAGCTCTAGTTTCAAACAGGAATTATAGAAACGGAGACTTTTGAAAGTAAAATGCGTTACTTCGTGACACCAATCAATATAACACATTGATTGACATCAAACAAAAAAATTATGTATTTATTATTTATAGCTTGTGTATATAAATAGCATATAATATACCTTGGTGATATTGGGTTGGAGGATTTGATGAAATTTTGACTTTTTCCGATATTGGAACCGGGATTTAAGTTTTGCATTTGTATATCAGGTCCATTAGAGGTGTCATTGGTGGCCGGACATCCGCCTGCCTGCTGAGCGTTAGCAATTCCAGTTACAATAACCATGTGAGTTTGTCTACGGAGTATGGGCATAGGAAGTGGTAATTCACCGTGAGCGGCTCGCGCTGTTAACGAAAGTGCACATAATTTCTGACGTACACCATAATGGTTTAATAGCACACCAAATCCGGGTATAACAAATACGGCAAAGGTATGACAAATAATAAACGAAATTAAAAACGTACTGGACCCGAGCTCGGAAGTACAGCTTATTCTGACGTTTGGGAAAGCTGAAGTGGTAAGCAAAGACGGTTCCAGTTTAGCATTTTTATTAGTACCTAGCAAAATTTCAGCCGATGTTGCATATTGATTGCTGTCATCGAGATTTGTTATTGAACTTTTCGCAATTATGTTGTATGTATACAGAAATGGCGCGCTGAGAACAGCTGATGCGATCCAAGAAAATACCGCTAATGAAACATGCAAATAACGACGCTGACGTAATTGTGATAAACATGGGTGTTTTACGGTGGCATAACGATCAAGTGAAAGCATGAAGAAAGAAATTGTACTTGCAGCGACTGGCATTATCTGTAAAGTAATACTAGCATAAAGTTTTAATAGTCAAAACTTATATTTCAACAAGATTTGTATACTTGCCTGCACATAATGAATTACTTTGCATATTATCAGTGGTAAAGTATTCGTCTTACGATTCAGGGCCACATTTAATAAAGTCATAGGTGCGGAAATGCCCGTAACTAAGAAATCGGCAAGGCAAACAGCTAATAAAAGAGGATTTCGCAATCGCACTGATGAAGCCGAACAAAGCGTGAACAATAATGTTGCATTACCCAATACGCCACCAAATACTACTAGTCCAAATAGTATGACCATAATTAATAACGTAACCGAAGATAAGGGGTTATCTTCTAAGTCAGTTATGTCATTTGGAGAATTCGTTATAGTGTAATTAAAAAAGGCGTCATTATCATTGCTACCGATCTGGTTTAACATATCCGGACGAGGGTCCTCTGCGATGAGTGGAGGTACCTGGAGACCATGCATATCTTGAGGATTGAAAGCGTGTTTCAGCTGATGATGGCGATAAGTATTTTCCCACCATTGCTGCAAGTTGTTACTGTTCATTGTAATAAAATAAATGCTGATATTTCATATCATTTAATCCTGAAAAACAATTATATGAAGGAATTAAAATGTAATATCATATTACATACCTAGCCACATAGACAAAAAATACAAAATGCATTTACGAAATCGTTACCATATTTTTGATGTAGACATAGACTTAAATACGCACAAATACAAAAATATATTTTGCGAAGCTAAACTGGGTGTAAACTTTGGTAGAAAGGCTTAAAACACACATACCACATATTTAATAAAGTGAGCTAAAACTAATATAATATATTGACTTTTATGAGAGGCATATGAATTTTTTGCAGTCTTGCAATCTTGATGGAAGATTTATGTTAAAAGATCATTGTTACGAATTGTATAAATTGATGCGATGTGGTGAAATAATAGGCTAGTATCATATTGAATTCCATACAATAAACATCGTTGGGTTTTCTGTCTTTCCCAACGTTAATGAAAGTATGGTTTGTTCATTTTTGAATAATTCCCTTTGTAGGAAACAACCATATCGTAGCCAAGTGGTAGCAACTTTAGATTAAGACAAACAAAATGTCTTGGGTTCTTAGTGCTGAACTTATCCTTAGGAATTAAAATCGATTATACAAAGCGATTTTAAAAGCAGTGTGGGCATATGATATATAGCTGTGGGGCACGGCTTCCAAATCAATGGAAGATTGATTCTAAATGCCCATGGATTATAACAAATGAAAATCTAAATAAAGTTCTTCAAATACGTTTTGTAAAAGAAGAAGCAAGTAAACTATCTGACAAAAACCTAATGGTAAACTTTGTGGTCACAGTAATGCTCTTGCAGTATGCCTATTAGATGAGACTCATAAAACTCAATGACTTAAAAGGTATCACGTCCTAGATTTGCCCTTAAGAAATTAAGAATGCACACAAATAAAGGTATATATATGAATGTATTAAGAAAATTGATATATTGTACATCTATAATTACTTATTCAGTTTTGATGAATATTAGTAAGACAGATTGCAAATAAAACACTGTTATGAGAAAACAAAAAAAAGTTAGGAAGTTTGGGTGTAACCGAAAATTTTATACTTTCGCAATTTGCAAAGCTCAAAGGCTGGGGAATACTTTTAGATGTCCCAACACTTTTATATTAAAAGATGTTGCGTAAGAAATTAACCTGCATTATCTAATTAACACTAAACTAATTATTTTTGTCAAAATATCACACACACATTTTCAGAATTAAGCTTTATTATAACCAATATTTTATTATATTAACATTGACCGATATATACACGATATAAATTAAAACGGAAGGTTGAAACCCGTATATTAGGTATATGGGAGCTAGAGGTATTATTGGTCAGATATTATCCATTGTTGGCACATAGACACAGGTATAAAGCAACCGGAAGTTCTAAAACCTATATATTATATTAGGTACATGTGGGCTAATGCAAGTATTGACCGGATTTTATCCTGTTTTGGCTCAAGGGCAAACTATTATTTGAAAAAAATTCTCCCTAAATTTCAATAATATACCTCAGAGTTTTACCGATAAAAAATCAGCTATGGGCACAAATATCCATATGTTCGGTACATAGGGACCTTAAAAGTTATGCCCGTTGTTCTTGATATATAATATATTCTGTGGAGTGAAAGATTCTTATGAAATTTAAAATTTTTATACATATATGCGAAGTAGGCGTAGTTATGTCTCGAATTAGACCATTTTAAGAACATAACGTAAAAAGGTAAAAATATTGTTATACACCAAATTTGGTTGTAATTGATAAAGTAGTTCTAGAGGTATAGGATTTCGCCTAAAGATGGGCAGTGTCACGCTCTTTAATGATTTGTGAAATGTGTTTATTAAACCACGCAGGGCCACGCTCAGTAGTATGCAAACCACAGATGCCTCTTTTCACTACGATTATTACTGCAAGATGTTTATTCAGGCTTTAATTTGGAGTGAATTCGGCTGCGGAAATTTTTATGCGTATTATGGAAAATTAGGAAATTATTAGAATTTAAGTAATTTCGTTTGCCAGTAAATCGCTTTCAGAAGTAGAACGACGGTACTCACAGACGGAGAACGAAAGTTTGGCACTATTTGGGGCGGTTGTAAGATTTTACAATATTACTACTTAACAGTTATTAATTTAAACTGGTCGCGGACTATAAACCATTAGAGATAATATTTAAACCTACATCTAGGACACATGCAAAAGTTAAACGTTGGGTTGTCCGACTACAAGCGTATTAGTACTTCTGATAGATACGGCGTACGAAATACACGTAGCTTACTTCCGCGAATAAGTTTTATATCTATCGTTGAAAAATGTGTTCAGTGAGAAATATAATTTTACCCGGAACGAAGATTGTCATACCCACTTCGTTAATGACTTTGTTAACCATTTAAGCTAACTGATGTAAAGTTATTTGTATGAGCAAAGCTTGCAATCTATATATATATATATATATATACATACAAAAAGTCGTTATATAACGTCCACTCTTTTGCCGGTTAAGAATTGACGAAGAGGGAAGCTCGGATACTTTAAGAATATAAATGGTGGTCAACCCTAGGGCAGACACATGCAGAGTTTCCTATTTGAAATAAATTTTTATCAAAAGATCAAGTTGATATCATGAACTAATATATTTTGCTATCAATCGCATTACAAAAAAATGAATCGGATGGATCTATTAATACTTGGAAGCCCAACCAACCGACTGATCGATACATTAAATATAATATATCACAAGGACTAACCACCTAAAAAGTATGTGCTATACTTTAATGTTTCCAGTTCCCAGTCCACACTAGAGCTACCACATCTGCCGCGCTGTAAATCCGCACATCCAGAATAAAGTGGTAGTGCAGGGAGTTGAAAAGTAATGTATATGACCTATTATATTCGAAAGGGTGATGTATTTACACACTGAACAGGGTATATTAAGTTTGCCACGAAGCTCATAACACCCAGACGGAAACGTCGGAGACCCTATAAAATGTGTACATAAATGATCAGCATGATGAGCTGAATTGATTTAGCCGTGTCTGTCTGTCCGTCCGTCCGTCCGTCTGTCTGTATATACGTGAATAAGTCCCTCAGTTTTTTAGCTGTCCTTTCCTCACAAAGAAGCTGCTCATTTGTCGGAACGGCCGATATCGGACTACTATAGCATATAGCTGCCATACAAACTGAACAATCGGAATCAAGCGCTTGTATAAGCCACTTTTTTATTTGACTAGGTATCTTCACGAAATTTGGCATGGATTATTGTCTAAAACAACAATGTAATCTTCGAAGAAATTGTTCAGATCAGATTACTATAGCATACAGCTGCCATATAAACTGAACGATCGGCAACTTAAGTCAAATTCCGTAAACTCCCCATCAATTTTATGGACATAATGCAATATGCTATTTTTTAAATAGCAGGAAGTTACTTCTTTGCACATGTCTTCTATTTAACTACATACAATACAATATATATTTAGCAAAAACATAAGGATACTTACTGTTTCTTAAGTATTGATTGTTTTTGAAAATAATTCAAGCTAATGCTTTTCAGATTGGTACGTTTGGAATATTTTGCACAAAATAAATAATTTAATAAAAAGATGGAATGGGAAGAAACAGAAAGACTATAATGTCGAGAAACAGACATTTTCATTTATGCAGATTAATTGATATACTTGTTTTTATATCAGCCCGTCGATATAAAGAAATACTAATATTCCGACAAGTGCATGGCATTAGTTTACAAAACTATGTAATCAGCTGTTTTAATTTGATTGTCGTTGCCCCACGACTTGATTGGAGAAATTGATATCAAGACGAAGTTCAAGTGCGAAAAGTGAGAGTGTGGTAGTATAAAATTGTTAGTGTGTGTAATTTTAAAGCAATTTCTTGATCGTGTAACGTTCGGGCTAGAAAAATACATATGTATATACACACATTTAATATACACTGTGCGTCATCAGATTTTTAAAAATAAAATCTAATGTAAAGGTTGAGAAAGCCATTATTGTGCGGTCGATAAGTTTTGTTTTGGTGGTACATTGCATCATTCCCAGACGTTCCCTATAATATTTAAGTCGGGGAGTTTTGTGGCCTCTCCATAATATCAACATTTTTCTTTGTATTCATGTTATTATAGACGGGGCGGTAGGAATTAGCGCAAAGTCGTGCTGGAAATGCCATTCCGATCCATTATATTTTTAAGAATGCAAATACAGTTTTTAGAACGCAGTCATATGAATTTGCATTATTTTTTAGCATTAAAATCTGCAGTTCGCTGGTGTCATAATCAGGGGTGTTGTAGAATCATAAGAATAAAACATAAAATATCATAATTATTAAGTTTATGGATAAAATCTAGATATTTTAAGAGGATACACAAAACGTAATAAACGTAATTTAACACCCAAAAGCGTTTTTATTCAGTCGATAATGTGATACAAGTCTGTAAAGTAAGCATGTATGTATACAAGCATACAAGTAAATGCAAGCCAAATTTCACATGCGATTCATTTCGTACATTAAGTGGATTACTGTGATCTTTTAATATCTTCCTTTTAATTTTTTCGTTGCTTTATGCTTCCAATAAAATAAAAGCTAAAATAGGGGATCTTGTAAACTTTACTAGACTTTATTCAGTATTTTAAGTTTATCAATCGCTTCCAAATTTATTTATTTGCAAGATTTGTCACATTAGTAAATAGGTGATTCGAATATTGGTTTTGCATATGTTCGAAAAGACGAAAGTCCAATCATTTTCTGTGACATCATTCTAAATCAGAATTGGTTTGCAATTCCGACAACTACGCAAATCTGTTTTGGCTTCCACAAAACTCCTGAATAAGATATGGCTTCCCACACTATTCCGACCCGGTTGTTTAAACGACCTAAATAGTGCTCCCCTTTACGAAAGTCCTGGAAGTAAAAATTTTATTTGTCTGGGCTTTAGAAATTAAGTTTCTTTTCATTAGAAAACACGAATAATATGACTCCTTAGACCAATTCATTTGTTTTCGGGAATA